CAAAGGAAGGAGTTTACCCACCTCGGAACTTCTTATCTCTCCACACTTGGGCGGAATTCCCCGCTCGCTGAACAACGGGCAGGGTTTGGTGCAGTGGTGCGCAGGGGAGAGCATCGTTGGGAGAATCCCATCAGGAGGTCGTGATTGGGTAGTAGAGGCTTGTTGATTGGGTAGTAGAGGCTTGTATGTGGTCGACGGAGGTCCTATTCCCAGTCTTGAGAAAAGCTCCGATGATAATTTCTCCAATTTTTCCGATTTCATGTACGTTATAACCTTTACCCCTCTCAAAGCGACAGTTTTGGAGGTGGAGGGAGGGGACTGGAAGGCTTCTGGGAAATGAACCCATCAAGGGTTGGGAGGTGGGAAAACTCAGCAAAATGGCAGGTAGGACGTGGAAGGGGTCGCACCAGAGGGAAAATTTGGGGGCGGAGGGTTACACTGACACCGTCACGTCACGCATCACGATGCTGTACCCTGGTAATACCGTGGTAGTCGGGTTATGGTAATCGCAATATTGCGCAAGGACTTTTATAAGTGCTGAGCTTCGTTTCACGTCACTTGCCGGTTTTGTCTGTGTTGACAGCAGTCCTGAATATTGTAGCGAAATGATCGCGTGCCCGAAGAAGGAGATTTTGTTTAAGAATTAGAAGCAAAGAAAAACAAAATATTGGAAAAAGAAGCCTGAAAAGCCACTGGGGGAGGGAAGGCTAGTAACCTCAGAAACCAGAAGTAAATAGTGCAGAAATGAGATCACTACCATCTGAATAGAACTGTCGTACTTCGGCAGAAATGAGATCACTACCATCTGAATAGAACTGTCGTACTTCGAAGTAGCCCTTCCAAACTGCAGCTCTTTGGTCTCTTTAGACCTGTGCAAAGGGCCCATCCCAATGAGACCATCTCCACTACGGTGATTCTAATTTTGCCCAAGGAGTTCTTTCAAGTGTCCCCGCCCTCCTAAGGCAATTGAAGCCAACCGCGTCATCTTCCCCGAAATGCTTCCTGGGCGTGTCGTACGTTGAGATCCTGGGCGAGGGGGTCGTGGCTGGAGGAAGGGAGTCGGACTTACCTCTGAGAAAAATGTACCTTATACCCTCATGACGCTCGACGGCAGTTTTTTTTGGGAGGGGGGGGGAAGGATGGAGCATTTCAGGAAAAAACGATAGAAAAGTGGCCAGAATTAGGAAGATGGTAGGATGGGAATGGAGAGAACCGTATTAGAAGAGGAAATTTTGAGGGAGGTCGTGTTTTGCGAAATTTTGCCCCACCGGTGGAGCATGCTATGATTCCTTTCCTTCTAGGCTTGGACAAAACCTTTTCCTCACTGAATGAACAAAATGCCTTACTAAATAATACTAATAGGGCTGCCTCCATGGAACTATTAGAAAGTGCTCCATCCCTGCCACAGCGCATCATTGTTGTGGAATCCTCCTGAAAGAGGGGGATCGTATTCTGAAGAAGAACACCCACACCCCCGGATTCTATAAGAAACCAATATGGGCTATAAATCATGATTCTGAAGAATAGAAGAGCCTGTATCAAAGGTCAAGTTCTTCTAATTGGGACATGGAGCTATGAAAAAATGACATGGGACGAACAAGATCCCCCGATACTGCACGAAAAGTGGTTTTAGCGACGAATAATGATAATGACAAAGTTTTGGGAATGAATTTGCGTGAAGCGAAGCTAACGAATAACACTGTCAAGGGCTTTGTGTAGAAAACAGAAGGTCAATGAGGTGATGGGGTAGACAAGGTCTGGAGGGACAAGGACAACTGTGAGGCTGCCGCACGCGGGCGAACATCAGATGTGTCTGGGGTGAGTTACGACCTCGCCTACCACGCAGGCAACATTACAACACGTTTTGACATGCCTTTATGGCAGCTTTTAATCACGTTTGCAAGATGTAATATGTCTGAACGTGACATGACATGGAAAAGTCAGTAAAAGGGTCTGTCAATCATTTTCTCGGACCCTCCTGCCTTGAAAGGTGGGGAGCTAATGTACCATAACATTGTAAGTTCAGGAAAACAGGCGGCCTACAGTACCCTTGAGAACTGTGCGTGAAATTAAATTTGTCGTCTCCGTGAATGCATGCAAAGGAGCAACAGGTGAGGCCAGGAAGTACCGAGATCGGGTAGGCGTGGCTGCATGTTTCAACTTAACCTGAAGGAGTCTATGCTTCTGGTGAGATATTTTCATCTTGACACAATTGTTGTCGTGTCTCTGTCCAACACAGAACAAGATGACAGTTGTCCCAGACTGGAATATTCCACGAGTAACCAGTTCCGTGCCATGTTCAAATGCCACGCCTACTCTGGCTCAGGGATAAGGAGTGTATGTAACAAGACAATCGTAATTTGCCGCGCTGATGGGCGTCGCGTGCGGCGCCGCGCCCACAAATGACGAAGTTTGCTGGTCGCATATGACGAGAATAAACACTGCCCAACCGAAAAGAGCCACAAACATCTGCGATGTTGTAGTATGCGTGAAATCCAGTGCCCAGTCGATAGGCTAATACAAATTGTGAAAGCGCCACGCTCATCGCCGCGCGCGGCAAACTGGCAGTTTATGATTGTCTTGGCTGCCTCCCAGGAGCAGGAGCTACTTTGATTTCACCTTAAACCGACCAGGGGATAGGCAGAAATTGAGTGTGCCCTCTTTGCTTCTACGCACTCAGTTCTGTGCTCAGTTTGGGATACTGTTGACACCTAAATATATCCCTGAACTTATAATAATTAGAGTAGCCGGGTATCACTCATATCACTTCTATACGTCCTTCCTTTTCCCCCGTAACATTATGGGGACATCTGAATATGCGCTGGGTTGGAAGAGGGACCGTTTTTGTATGCAAGCATTGGTACAGTCTGATCCTAGCTGATAAAAATATTTCCAGCGCCGGTGTTCATGCCGTCATGGTGATGCACGAGATCGAGATCCAACATCGCTTGTGAGCCAGGAATCTTAGCTATTTGACTCGACATGCAGTCGATATCCGGGCAGCTGATTAAGCCGCCAAAGGGTCGCGACGCGGCTGCTGCTCGTCAGGACCGCAGCGATCAACTGCTGCCAGCCTGGTTTAGCCTCTTCTCCTTGGTTTTCACAGTACTTTCTTTTTTCTCAAGGTGAGTTGTGTTATTGCCTTTATGAAGTGTATGAGACGTC